ACTCTACTTCCACACCTACATCTATGGATATAACAGACCTTGAAAATGCTGTTTATTGTGCGATACAAATATTAATCGACTACATATGATTATTGGTTCAGCAAAAAATATTTTATTATCAATATCAAATTTCGTATTAGATACATGATATATTATATCTTCGGATGTGTCTCGTTCGAGTTAATTTTTCTTTTTTTTAACTCTTTCGACAAATTATAATAGTCAATCGGTTAAGCGAGCTAAAAGCTCATATAAAGGAGAGAATATGTAATAAAGTGGTGGAATAATTGCAAAAAATTTTGGATAAAATAAACGAGTTTGTCCATAAACACCAGCAGCTATAATTGCTTGAGCAGTTTTATGTACATCAACCGCTAAAAAATGAAGACTTTTGTCAATTGTATTAAGTGCAGATTCAGTAGCAATTAATCCAAGAATAGTTACAGTTGCTGTAACACGATTTTGATATAATTCAGAAATACGAAGTTCATGAGCAAGATTCAAAAAGAAACCTTGAATAGCATGTTTTGTTGTACCTTATTTAAATAAAAAAACTTCTTTTTCATGAATCTACATATTAATATAATAACTTACCATATATAGTTATTTGAGGTATTGGACAAGTACCAGTTAATGATGACATTGCAATTATGTGAGATGGTTGTTCATATGTTCCATTTTGAGCTAAATGAGGAAGAGCTGCCATCGCTTTAGAATACAAAAAATAGAAATTATCATTTCAATTCAATTTCTATTTTCTTACTCGTTTGAAAATATTCAAAAAAATTTACATCAAACACTTTTTTCATATTTTCAATATTTGTCTTAATATCACATTTAAATAAATGTGGAAACCTCGGATTTAAATCCGAGAGTTATGTGTACTTCAAAAAGTGAATGAGACAGATGAGTCATCGTAGAATGTGTGGACGTAAAAATTATCCTGGCAAACCTTTTCTATGAACACTTGATTTCTATTGGCTACTGCTCAACCAATAGGATATCAAGGCAAACGGAGCTTGGATTAGAGTTCTCCGACCCAGAAAACCTCGAACCATCATCTCTGTGATCAAAAGACAGAGCTCTAATTGTGGATCAATTAGAGTGTGGACAAGAACA